CCGCCTCCTGCCAATTACCTCCCTTTGACCAATCAGATCCCACAGATGAGGCCTCCTCCGGATACCATTAGCTAGCCAATGTCGACTGTCGACGCCCCGGGGGAGGGCTTTTTCTGTGGCTACTCCGGCCCTCTGGAACGATCTCCCCATGGAGATTCGGACCCTCATGAACCTTTAAGCTTTCTGCAAAGCCGTTAAGACCTGGCTATTCCGGCAGGCCTGGGGCTGATGAGTTCCCAGACCCACTTGAATTGCTGATTGTTGTGTAGTTTTCAATTATCTGGTATTTTGCTTTTGTCTTGTTCGTTTTTGTATTGCCCCCTTCCCCATGTGTTTGTTCGCCGCCCTGAGTCCCTCCGGGAATAGGGCGGCATACAAGTATAATAAATACAAATACAAACTACTGCAATGATTCACTTAACAACTATGGTAAGAAAGATCATAAAATGGAGCAAAATTCACTTAACAAATGTCTCACTTAGCGACATAAATCTTGGACTCAATTGTTGTCATATGTCGAGGACTACCTGTGTTGTATCTCCAGTCTCAAGGATGCCATATCTGTAACCTTCCTATGACAATTGGTTTTGCTTATAGGTGATCCAATTGATTATTAAATATTGAATTCTTAAAAAATTGTTCTACAAAGTCTTTTATAAAATGCATCTCACACAGTTTTTTTAAAAAAAACATATTAATAGTAACATGGTGGAGGGAATCAAATTAAGGCTACAGCATTGAGGAATAAATGAATTATCCCTCCATCTGGTTTCACAAAAGCAACCTGATTTCCTATTGTGTGATAATGAATTTTAAGCTGGATGAAACCTTGATCTGATCTAATAGTTGTCTTCTAATAAATGTTTGTTTGCTTGCTTTTGCAAGGAAGGATTCAGAAGGGAAAAGATTCCAGGAATGAGAAAGTAAGAACAGGGTTCAGAAAGGGGAAAGCAGAAAAATGTTTTGGTGGAACAGAGAAACATTTCAGAGAGTTGAAAAGAAACAGTGGAAAGAGGAACAGTTCACTTACATCAACAGTTTCAACAATTTCTGTCCATATTGCATGCGGAAATACTCGCTTAGATCCTCTTCATCCATGGTGGTCATGATGGCCGTCCACTTGCCAGGCACGTCCTGACCCCTTTCAACTCTTTATCTGAGCTTGGGAGTCAAGCAAACTGATTAGAAAAGCTGCCAGTTCAATGCAGTTGAAGCCACGGAACTTTCAGAAGAAGATACGGAAGATGCAAATGGTTGCTTAGCAACAGTAGGGATTTACTGCATTGGGAAAGATGAAAGTCCTTTGGGAAGTCATGATTCGCTCTGTAGGTGGTAGAACTTAACAAAACCTCCCAAATTCAACAGCCCCATTCTTCCCATTTGGTTGTAACTGGGACAACCTGAGATAGTATAAAATGTTGTCATTTAGTAGTTTGTTGCTTTAAAACTGCAAACATAGGGGAAGGCAGCTGCCATTTGTGCTAAATTAATGCCAAACACCAACAAATCATAATTATTTATGTGTTTCAGAGGTTCTGACCAGTTCTGGAGAACTGGTAGCAGAAATTTTGAGTAGTTCGGAGAACCAGTAAATACCACCTCTGACTGGCACCATCCCCATCTATTCTCTGCCTCCCGAGTCCCAGCTGATTGGAAGGAAATGGGGATTTTGCAGTATCCTTCCCCTGGAGTGCAATGGGAATGGAGATTTTACAGTATTTTTCCCCTGTCATGCCCACCAAACCACGCCCAACAAGCCATGCCATGACTCCCAAGCCACATCCACAGAACTGGTAGTAAAAAAATTTGAATCCCACCACTGATGTGTTTATATGTGCACATGTGTATACATGCAAAATCATTACAGAATCCACACTCAGAAGAAAAATTACAAAAATCCTCTTTACCCTTTCTTTTTTAAATCAACAGCATTTTTCAAAGAAAATATAATTGAGGCATACAGATCCAGCAACAAACTAATTTTGTTCCCCAATGTTATACTATATGTACTATTATATCTTTCTTGCCAGAGTGTGTCATACACAAAATCTGTGAGCGGGTAGTAGCTGCATTTAGGCCAACCTAATAATTAGAAAACTTGTAAATACGTTTTCAAAATCTACAGCTCTATTTATCCAGCAAGGTGTTACAAAAAGGAGATTTGACTGGACAGAGAAAAAGGGAATTAAAGCAAGCTAGCTTTTTTTGTTTGTTTGTTTTGCTTTTTTAGTTAATGAAAATTAAATCTGCATTTGCGCACAGATGAGCATGTGTAACTCCATTTGTACAAATAGCCTACTGCTCATGCAAATGGAGCTGCACACACAGTCACCCTCCACTTGCATAGCCCAGTTCCAAATGGCTTGAAGTTTGGTAGTGGGCCATGACCCATGGGTTGGAGAGCTCTGTTTTAAAGGACACTAAGCTCTATTTTAAAGGACACTAAGTTTGTAAACCCGAGTTTCTAATCATTTACAGAAATTGTTATGTAGCTGGTTCTAAACTATTAAAGAACTTCAGAATGACAAGTTTGAAAACACTGGGAAAATCTGCATTCAGTCCTGAATAAAATAAAAATATTAATCATGAGCTTAAAAATGTAAAGAATCTGAAATAAACAACAAAAGAAATGAGAAACTAAATAAGATTTTGGTTTTAGAAAGTATAATGCTAAGGGTCCTGATATAATTAGAATATTGAAAATTTTACAAAGATATTTTAGAATTAATTTTAAAGAGCAAACAGCTTCTTGTGGGAAATATTGTAGATCTTGTTTTGGGTTTAATAAGATATAACATAAAGAAGCTGTTTCATGATTTCAAAAACTGGACACTAAAGAGGACTAACATTTTTAGCTAGAGGAAAGACATACAGACCTGTAAGATGATGTAAAATGTCATGACAGGAGAGATACTAAGACTTTTCAGGAATAAAATAAGAAAATAGCAGCCACAATATCAAGAATGTCAGTTATGATATCTGCTTCTATGGATAGATTAAGTACAAAAGATGTTATGAAGAAATGTTATTAAGCCAGATGTAGGAAAAATGTATCTGACAAGATAGAGATGGTATTAAAAGTAGATTTACAAATGAATGTCTTCGAAAAGGATGCTTCTCTGGATCTATGAACAAAGCTGGCTGAAGTTTTAAAATTCAAAGGGGGGCATACAAATGACAAACCAACACAGTAAACTAGATGTTTTTTCCCCTTTGGATTTATAAAAGAAGCTTGTTAAAGCATTGAAGAAATTTGTGTGGTGAGACAAAGAAGAAATCGAGAAAAAACAAATCTGACAACAATATTTGAATGAACTAAAGATTAAGACTGTTAGAATGAAAAGGAATGAATATAAAGTTGGTTTACTTGTTGAAGGTTAAAAGAAGATATGATGTTACTTCTGGCAACCTTTTATGGACTTTGTGCTGACATCAGAATTGAAGAAATGTTTTATAGATTTGTTTATAGATAAAAGATGGGACATGGGAATGAAGAGATAAATGTTGGTAACGTTAGAGGAGGTGAAGAGTCACTAAATTCATGTATACCTATGATGGTCAGAAATAATGTCTTTATATATTTCTTTTCTCTTTCTGTATTTTTACTTTTCTCTTTTTTCTTTTTCTTTGCATTTTTTAGTCCTTTCTGTTTCTGTAAGTTTAGTTTGTGCTAAATTTAATTTATAATCAAATATAGATATAGATGAAAACCAAAGGCAATGGTTGCTGTTACCAATTTTGAAAGGTATCAGTGAGAGAATGGAATGGAAAAGGATAAAACAGGACATAGGCCACCCATGCCATTAACTTGTCCAATCCTTGTTGGACACTTTCAGAAAAAGGGATTGTATCACAGGTCAAAAGACACTACTCCATGTTTTAACTTTTTTTCTTCATAAAAAAATAATCTCTCCAAACTTATATTTAATAGTGAATTGATAGGTTTGATTGCAAATGTTACCTCCAGAAAAAAATTGTGAATGAGGAAATAATTGTTTCATTTGCACGCATCCTTATTCTGGGAATAAAGCAGAGGTGGGCTGCTGCGGGTTCACACAGCTTCGGGTGATCCTCTAGCTAAGCATCTGCCCAGTTAGGTGAACCCACAAATCCCACCCCGGCTGGCCCCGCCTACCCACCCCACCCCTTCCACCCCTAACAGGAGTCTCCACGTGGCCCATTTGGGATGCCAGGTAAGTACAGAGCCTGGGCAGAGGCTTGGGGATGGCAAAAAATGGGTTTCCTGGAAGTTCCACAAGGCCAGAGACAGGCCTGTTTCCAACCTCTGGAGGGCTTCCAGAGCAGAGGTGGGTTGCTCCTGTTTTGGCCCGGATCAGGTAAACCAATAATGGTGGAGATGGAAGCCTCTGCCCACCCACCGCTTCTGTGCACAAGCGAAACGGTAGTAAAAAATGGAAACCCACCACTGCTCCAGAGTCTGGGGAGGCTGTTTTCACCCTACCGGAAGCTCAAGAAAACACTACCACCCCATGGTGCCGGAGGCCAACTAGGCCACTCCCAACATGGCCACACCCACTCAGCAATTGGGCAGAGAACCCATTGCTAAAATTTTTGAAGCCTATACCTGGCATAAAGCTATGTTTTTGTGTACGTTAATGGAAACAAATTTTAGGCAAAATGAAGAGAAAACATATTTTTATGCTCCCTTTCAGAAAGTAGGCAGAGTGCCTTTGGAGGAGTTTTATCACTGCTGAATGCTAAGGGTGCACTTGACAGACTCTCTTCATCTTGTCCATGGGGCCAGATGTGTCCATAAAATCTTGTGAAGCATTTCCCAATCATGTGTTTTCTCTTGTGGGGTGGTTCTGCAGGTCCTGATTTAATTATAGCTAGAGTATAGCTAGGAAAGTAAAGTTTTATATTTCCTTGCTGAGGGCTCAGCAATATTTGCGTTGTAATTATGTGGAGAATATAAAGCCATGTTTTCTATTCAAATTTGTTTCCACTGAGAGGGAAGTTAATCTATTATGGTCAAGCTAGATGTGTGGTTAGCTTTCTTTTTTTTTTTTTT